CAGTGATGGAATAAGCAATCGTGTCATTAAGATTCGATTAGCTTTCGTATGCTTTTCGCGTATTAAGGAAGGGAGAGCGCTTAAAACGCGTTTACGTTTCAGCACATGCCCTCCTACTATACGGAGAGCTCTCCAAAAGCTTCCGTACACAATATGGTGCACACTCTCCATTCCTATTTAATTTCGTGATCGATTGGATAATGAGTGGAGTGCTGAAGGGTCTTTGGAACCCCGGAGTTCAAATAGTCTGTGTCAAAAACCTTATCGATTTGGAATATGCAGACGATATCGTCCCCGTCTTCGAAGACGAGAAGAAGGTGATGAACTGATCTAAGTCACCACGTCCTTGTGTATCCACAAAGTGTAAGGTAATGTTCCTAGACGTGCATTAGCATGGCATGCCAGCCACAATCCAGAGAAAGACACTCGAAGTTGTGAAACGTTTCACGTAATTTTAAATTGTATTAGTTCTGTGTGGGACAGATGTCGATTTGGAATATGCAGACGATATCGTCCCCGTCTTCGAAGACGAGAAGAAGGTGATGAACTGATCTAAGTCACCACGTCCTTGTGTATCCACAAAGTGTAAGGTAATGTTCCTAGACGTGCATTCACTGAGCATGCCAGCCACAATCCAGAGAAAGACACTCGAAGTTGTGAAACGTTTCACGTAATTTTAAATTGTATTAGTTCTGTGTATAGTGCGACAGATGAGGTCAATCCACAATTCTGCAAGACTCGGGTCGCGTTTGCTAATTTGAGACACCCATGGCATCAAAGTGGTGTATCCCTTAATCTCATGGGGCGTGTGTATCAAGCTACAGTGCGGGCTGTTTTGTCGTACGGCTGAGACTTGGCCTGTTCAAGCGGCGGAACTGGGACGTCTTCAGATGTTCGACAATCGTTGTCTCAGGACCATAGTTCGTGTGCTATGGTGTTGAAGAATCCGCAACGAGGCTATTAGAAAGCAAGTTTTCGGTTGTGCAACGGGTACTTCCATTGAGAAATGTGTCAGCACCAGAAGCTGCGGTTTTTGAGCCATGTTTTTACATGACGAATCATTTATCGAATCATTTGTCGAAAGGGGTACTGTATTCCGTGCCCAATTTTAGAGTGACGGAAGCAGAGTGGCATCTAGGCTTTGACCTGGCAGAGAGGTTTGAGAGGGATTGCGAAACGTTATAGTGGTGACAATGCTACTTGCCTTCTGGGATGAGGACTGCGTGATCCCCACCGCGCCTGCTTGGAGACGCTGCAAGATATGGCTGCCAACCGATGTCAGTGGCGTTGTTGATGTCAGTTTCTTTCCAGATTGCCTGGATGAGTGTTTGGAGGTGCACATACTCCGGAGTGATTGTAGTAGGCCAGCATTAAGTAGCATCTCCGTCCGCTTTTATCTTCTTCAAAATAAGGCTTCCAGGCAAATCGCGGTTTTACTGCTGTGAAGCATCAGTGTTGAGTACTGGTGTTGTTATCGATGAGGTTGATGACTACGCGGGTGCGAAACTTGATCCCGTTGTCTAGAATGCATCAAAATCTTGAGCATCGCTGTTTTCGAATCGTCAGATTAAAGCGATCCGTCAGCGAGTTTTGGAGGTGGTCGGCTTTCCCATCATCTAAATTCGTTTTTGATGAGACACTCACTCTGCTGGCGGATACTTCCAGGTAATCTCGATTCTCCCTCTCGCCCACTGGGCAATGGGGCGACAAGTAAAAATCAAAGAACGAAATGGTGTACGTCCATGAAAACAGCTAATGACGGGTGAGTTTTTGGTCGATTCATCTAGACTTCCCCGATCTGAATGTATGGATTGCATCTGGTTGTGGATGAAATCTGAAATCTTTCAGAACCAGAGTAAACGGCTTACTTGTCATGAGGTTCTGCTGATTGATCCCTTCATTCATTGTGACACAAATTTCTAGTATATATATATATATATATATATATATATATATATATATGACTTACCAGCGCCAAATAAGACAAAAATACTTAGCCTTCATGTAATCTAAGTAGCCGCCAGCGCATTAGGCACCCTATCTCGAGCTGGGCAGCTCTGGTAGACTATTGGATGGCTCCTGAGTGGTATCTTTACTGGGCTTTTCTGAAGCGGACTTATTCTGTCACAAGAGAAACCGAAGCCACTCAACACTCGCCAGACATGAGTCACCTTCTCATCTTCAACGGCAAGACGCCAGTATTAAATAATGGTGGTTGATTTCATAGTGGTGGTTACACATTAGGTGTGTATTTGACATCTCTCAAGTCTTTGGTGCGCAATGGTCAAAGGTTCGTACGGTCTCGAAAACGAAGAAAGATCACTGATTAAGCACTTCCCTTCGTGTGACTTTCTGTAACCCTCGTAGCTATTCTGGGGTTTTAGTCTTTCTGGATGCTGCAATCACCAAGCTCATTATTATTTCCATCAAAGGCACAAATTGAGATGACGTAATTAGTGGATTCGTCGCATGCCTCTGTCATTTCATTAATCTGGTCGGGTCTCAGATGTAGCAACATTCATATAAGATTGGCGCGCGACGCTTTAAGTCTGGTATATTGTGGCTTAGGTTGGCTTTCAGCTCCACTTGTAGGGTTGCTACAAAACAAACTTCTGGAGTGTTTTTTAATTGTGAATTAGCATCTCCCTGGATGCCATTTTTCTCAACCATTCTAGTTTATGTCAGACTACTCATGTTGAGGAGGTAGCAAAGTAGCTTGTCAGTTTCTTGAGCAAATAAATTGATCTGATTGGTTAAACATGTTTGGGATCTGCAATGGGTGGGAACGTTCTTGCTCTCATTGGGACCTCATAGTTAAATCCACTGGTTGTGCTGTAATGAATAGGTTTTTCACCATGCTCCAGAATACCCGGTTTTACTGTGGTCCGGTCAATACCTCGATGTGGATAACGTCTATACGGCTCTTGAGCTGCAGTGTGACCTAGTCCCAAAGTTGATAAACTAGTCGGCTTTCCCCAGCGATCGTAAGCCCATTGTTTACTATGCTTGTCTGCTTCTCGGATATCTCGGGCCCTCCGGGTGTACCAGTCAGGTTCCGTAGCCGTGGCTGATTCTGCTATGATATGAGGATGTCCTGCAGAGTTCCACTTTGTCCAGCCATCCTGTTGGGAAACGGAGAAAACATGTTATTTCCTCCTTGAGTAATTCCTGTTGCAAGTTTTACAAATATAAGAAGACACTCACACAATCGGTCTTGTGAACCAAGATAGGTGATCTGCTGAAGTGTACGTTCTGACTATGTGACCGCGGGACTTCAGTTATTTTACTCATATTCATCAATGGAAAACATGCTATATACAAATGTTTTGAAAACAACTACCTGGTAAATTATTTATAAATGAGCTTGGTTTACACACAAGCCTTATGGTTATTTTGCAGCTGAGGCGTTTGGAAAGTTTCACTTTCTATTGGATGAGGCCTATGTCCCGCGTTAACTGAACACTGCAGAATCTTTTCAATCATACTGAGGCTCCTCAATTGTGCCTGTTATTCTGCATTTAACTAGCGAGCTTTGAAACATCAAACGAATTCATCATCCAGGAGTCCGTACGATTTTTTGTTTACTGATTAGGAGAAAGCTATCACCTGCTGCTCTAGATATCACCGATTTCTCTGCAGTATCCACTGTGTGACCGAAACGGAAACAACAACGAACGTTACTAGCCTAAAACGTGGTAATTCAATGGTAAACCTTTTCCCTTGGTTTATCTGTAGCTTTGAACTGGAAAACGAAAGTTAGACGACATAAACGAGTATGGAAGTCTCAATTTCTCTTTTAACGAGATCGTTTTACGTAACACCATTCCGGCATCTAGCTTCTGTGCCACCTGAAGGAAGCACAAAGGCTGAGATACTGTCAGGTTGCACAGGCCTAGACAGACAGATGCCGAGGTTGAACTCGAGCCACTTCCAGTCGGTAAGTTCATGCACACGATGGTTCAATTTACGCTTAGTCGTGAAGGTGTGAAAGTACGGTTAGTTTCACGTGAACATTCGGCCTTCCAATAACTGCGGTAGACTAGCCTCATAGTTCCCTCTTTGATACTTTCCATCTTATGGCTTTTCAGAATATGCTGTATGTTATGCTACGACAGCAAAACGTCAAAGCCAACATGATGGCAACTGACTCCGATAAAATCGTATGGCTAGCTGGACCCTAGAATCGAGAAACAACGTGAAGGCGCGAACAGAGGGAAAGCGGCAATATGGTGTTAGAATATGTCCGTTGACTTCTCGTTAAGCCCTTAAATGGATTTCGATCCTTATGTCTACTAGAATGAAATGCTGACAAGCGAACTTCCGGGGCTTAACCCTACGGACTTCTGTCTCTGTCAGGACAAAGAGACTGATACCACTTGATCAGCTCTTTCTATTCATTGTATGTCCTGGGCTACATTCAAAAACGTTTTGTTGATTCCCTATATAGTTGCTGCGATCCAGCATTTCGGATTGTCCCGGCATCCTGAGTGTATCAACTCGGTCATGGATGATAGCCTCGCGATCTGAATGTTTTGTTTCGAATTAGTTCCTTCCAAAAACGGGCAATAATTGATATTTCTTTAGGATGAAAGCAATATGCGTTTTCCATATTTTTAAAAAGCTTCCCATCAGAATTTCCACGCCAGATTGTCTCGATAGTAAGCTAAAGATGACATTCTGTTATCGCGCGCTGATGATGTATCCACATTCAGTGACTAAAGGTATGCATGCCAATTGGTTAACAAGCCAATAAACACCTGATCATCAGTCAACAAAGATAACTCTGCCAATTTAAGGTGTTTCAAGAGGTATATAGCTCTTCAGGTTGAACACCTTCTAGAACATCTTAACTTGTCATGAGGCTTCCTTTGCATTCTGATTGAGACACTAAGATTTCTATGCAGTTACTTTAAAAATTACAGCTGGACGTGTTGCTAAAATGCCATGACCTGCAAGTTTAAAAACTTTATTTGAAAATGCCAAGCGTTAGATATATTTGGGTATGTTTTACGGCTGAAAATGTGCGTGGTGTGTCTTGTCAAATCCTAGTAACTTATTCGAAAACGCAAGACGCTTTCATCACTTTTCAAGATACCACTTTCGATGAACATCTGTCAGATTTTTCTATCATTTACAGATACGTTTTCTAAAAATTTACCTGAGTAGTACCCATTATGAAAGTTTTGTGAAGCTCATTTGAATAAATTACATGTGAAAGCCGTTTTACCTTTAGGATCTCCATTCCTGTCCAATGATATGAGTCAACTCGGTTCAGCCGGGGTTGCCTGCAAAGTAACCGCTACTCTTCTCTTCGAACTTACCATTCATGTGGCATTTCGTGAATCGGAGTAAAGTAGCGAGAGTTGGTCCATTTTGTATGCCCATAGAGATTGTTATTAACTTTTGTCTAATAGCTTCTGCCAAGTAAATCGAAATTACTTGATACGGTTGGTGGGAGGTTCCAATGGGACATACTAGTTCGCTAAAAGCGGAAGAATAAATGGGAAGTTACAATTTAGCTCAATCAAGATTTTAAACCTATTAAAGGTCATGAAACGCCGTATTCTTAATTCTCGTCCACACGAGTGTTCAGTTCTTCTTTGTCGTGGCTGATCACTTTTCAATGGTAGTGAAATTAAACGATCGATCAATTGTGGCCTCCTTTCTGTGAGGAATTTTACTAAATTCGTCCTGTTCCTGATAGTCAGTTTGATAGCGCCATGGCTTTGCACGTGGATATCACGAGTTCGACATCGATGACTGTCTTGACGAAGGCCTTGGTTCCCTTCTGTAAAATATGTGGAAAATGTTTTGATAAAGCCTTTTTTGTCAGCATACTGATGATACCTTGTTGATACCTGTCCTTGCCTGACTTTCTCTACTCATCTAAGCTAGAAGATTGAAGTTTTGAGCGCACTTCATAAATATTCATCTAATATGTACAGGCATCCTGAACTGCGTCACGTTCTGATAGGATCTGGAACGCCATGACGGCAAAAAACCAGAGCATTTTTTTGGGAGAGTCCCACGTTATCGAAGTAAAAAAGTCAGGAAAAGCAAGTAATCTTAGTAATGTCTCAAACATTTTATTTGGAAGCTTCATTGCCTGAGTTCATCGACCGTATTGCAAGAAGTACGACAGAATTTAAATCCATTTAGATTCTGTTGAGTGTATTTAGATGGTTGCAACTTTACGCATTCAGAATGATCGATGACACTAATTATTTATGCATAACTGCCAGTTGGCTTGAGCTCCAGCGTGACAACGTTCAGTATCCCAAATAATGGGTTACCGGATGGTCAGCCGGTCATTTCAAAACGCTTCCAATCCATACGAACACCACATAGTTTGACAGCCGGTATGTTGTTTGTTCTGACGAGCATACTTATTTTAGCACTCTAAAATAGAAGCTTAGAGCCTAATAAAAACACCCATCTCTACAGTGCCACGTTTTGCCCAAATGTGTGTATTTCTAAAAAGTTAATCCCCGCAATCCAGTTCTTATATAAGGTCACCAACCACTGAAGTGAATAGTGGCGGCGTAGCATGAGAATCAGATTGTTGCTATCTCTTAAGCACTCTAAACACAAACTGAGCGCTCAACCAAGTGTTGAACTCGAGACTAGTCATGGTTTACATTTCAGTTGGAAGGCTTTCAAACGTGGCTAGAAAAACCACCACTTATGAGTAGATTAGAACTTGTTGTACACCTGCCTCTAATGCCCATGGAATCAGTGTCTCCAAGATATCCGCCCACAGATATCGAGCACGCAGACGACGTAGCTCTTCTGGGATCAGACCCCATGGTAATGCGAACAATATTAAATAGTCTGACTATTGCTGCCTCACGGTTTGATATGCGCTTCACACAGGCAAAGTGCTACTGGAAGCATAGGTGGGCCCGAACCCTAGCCGTATGCTTGCGGATGAACAGATTGAGGTAGCAGGCAAATTCGCCTACCTGGAAAGCTGAATCAATCCCGTTAGTCTCGCAAAAGATGATGTTTCCACCCGGATTAGGAAGACCAGGACAGCTTTTCCAAACCAGCGTCACCTGTTGCGTAGGCATATCCGTCAAGGGTCGAGTTTACAATGCTGCGGTGTGCTTCATACTACTATATGGATCAGAGACCTGGTCACTGTGCGCCGAGGACGTGAAAAGGTTTTCAGTGTGTGATAGTCGATGTCTTCAGAGCATTGCTCGAATTTGGTGGGAACACAGGATAAGCAACGCTGAAGTACGTCGAATGCTATTCAGAGGGAATAAATCACCCTCGATAGATCACACTGCACAGGTTGCGCTGGCTTGTCCACTTCCCCCGTGTGGCAGTCGACAGATTTCCTCAAAGGGTTATCTATCTCAACCACGCGAAAGGTGTAGACGAGCCAGGAGGAGGTCAAATAATGATTTGGCAGCGTAGTATAAAAGATACTACCAGCGAACTAAGCTGCGCTGATCACTGCCATCATTCTGGATGGCAACCATGGTCCACACCAATGGTTGGAGACATTGGTATTCATGGCCCAGTAGCTCCCTCAGTGGCGCTCGTACATCCAAGCTATTGCCTTCAATCCTAATTCTTTCCCCAATACCCCCAATTGACAGTCCACTGACAATGCTGTACTTACGCACCAACTTATCAGCTCTCGCCTCCAATGCGCAGTTGCCTACCCCACCTCCCCAAATCATCCGTGAACGAAACTGTGGCAGCTACAACAAATACCTTCTTTTGCGAGACCGCCATCGATCCATTGCTGAATCAGCCGTGATGTGCCGACGTGTAAGATCAACTTTACCCTAAATACTGACGACTAAATTGTGTCAATATTCGTAGTGGTCGTTTCAAAATGCAGATAAATTTATCCGTGGCAACCAACAGTGCTCTTCATGGCTATTTGCCGCACATGCAATTGCATGCCATTATGCTGGGTGGAGTGGATCACTGCAAGCTTACCCCATTGTCTAATGCGATTGTATCGCTCACGAAAATGCGATTACATCTAGGCTAGCTGACTGCTCACAACAGACCTGCACGATCGCTGCTCTATCTTACCTAATCAGGATTCACTGACAAGCTCAAAGTACTGCGTTTGACTACGCGCAGACCATTTGTGCCTTCATAACGATACACAGCTATCCAGTGGTCCAGCAAAATGTAATCCAATACCAGTCGTGCATACATCCATATGTCTATATGTATACATCTAGCATCTTTGTCGGAGTTACCGGTCAGTGGTGGTCAAACCATTTGAAACCTTAGCAGAGTAAGAGGTCACAGACGGTTTGCGCTGAACAGAACGGGTACTGCGCCCAATCCATTGGCGATGATGCAAACTCAACGGCATAAAATCGGCGAACGAAACTGCACAGTTCTGTCGTCAGATATCAGTGGACCTAGACAAAATGGGCTAACCTGATCAAGTGGCAACCTTACCAAATGCATTGCTAAGTAGGAACGTCGTTTGTCACCGAAGGGTTTGAATCGTTCGTAAGCAAATGTGCTATGATGGCAGAAGCAGTGGTTCCCGGCGTTCAGTCTGTTTCATTGAAAGTGAAGCTATAAGTGCATTAGGACGCAATCATTAAGCTCCAGCAATCTGAAGCTACAAATGTATCTTTGATTGGAGTGGAGAATAAGGTATTATTTAGTCAGTTTCCCGAACTTATATACGGCGTGACATGAACCAATGCATGGGCTGGGGCAAACTGCGACCTCGAATGGACAGAAAGGCGCGGTCACGGTCTCAAGTTCCCCGCCCTTATTTTGAAGGTGAGCCCATTTCCCCCCCCCCTCTTTGGCCGGTGGGTGACATCATATATTTGCGTTTGAGAGACATGTTAAGTATCCTTCTAAGTCGTGTGATGGGTTTTTTGGTACGGGTCTCGCACTAATGACTGTAAAAGGACTGACTTAGTTTTGCGTCCACCTGTCTTCGGATTTCACATATAGCTTGGACGCTCGCTTCCTTAAGGTGTGCATCCTCTCGGAGCTTAGTATTCGCACAATGGAACTGGATTTTCGGAGGCTTCGACGCGTCTCCACTGGACTAAACCAGAGAAGCAGTTGGGTTCAGAATAACATTATAAATGTTTGAATACCATCTGAGCGTCCGCGGCTCCCAGAGATACTAGGAAAGCATCTCACCAGGACTTTTCAGCCGGAGGTATGGTCGCTTTAATGGACAGTGAAATTTGGTGACCTGCGAAAATATGAGAGTAGATTGTGGTGGTTTTTGGTTTTAGCACTCGGGCAAAAAACTGCAAACTTTGCGCATAAAATCTTTGTTTCACATGCAGAGGTTTTACAGCTGAGAGCATTCTGCGACCAAGGTGAACTCACTGTTGAAGCCGTATCCACGATTTTGTAATACCGCGTGTTTACCGCTTACGATGTTCAGGTAGTCAAACAAATCTAGGTAATTGCACGAGTCAGCAGTAAGAATGCGTGCAGATAAGCTAGGATGGGGTTGAAATGGCCGATGCTATTACCATAATCTCGGAAACAATTTATCGTTAGTTCGTCAAATACAAATTGGACCCGCGTGATCAAAATACCTCATTTTCGACCATATAGGTATGCATTGTCACTGATAGGTGCTTCAGGAATCACTGATTTGCGTCAACAACACTCCCATCACATGCATGTAGAGAACGTGCAAGTCGCCGGGGACTATATTTACAAAAACGTTACACCTTACGCAAAGACGGAGAGCGGATGAGACAAACACGTAAAAACGCTGTTGCAGTGCATATAGGCCAAATCAAGGTTCTATTTAATACTTAAATCCTACGGAGCCTTTCATGAGATCCACATGAGTCGCAAAAATGAAGAATCGGAAAGTTGTGTTAATAGTGATATGCGGTTGAAATCTCGCCGCATGAACTTTTGGAGGTGAGGAGTTAAGGATCGGGTACATGGGTACATGGGGCCTTGTGCCTATTCCGTGTTCTTCCTCAAACTACCTTAAACAGGAAGGTAAAGGATTCATCTAATACCATGAGTGTGTGCACTTGTGAAAAACAGAAATCGTTTCATGGAAATTCGGTGCGCATCTTAAGGCAAAAATAGTGGTTGGGAGTTAAGATCAAGTCCTTCGTGGAGGACCACAGTTTGGGGTCCGCTCTATCGAGAGAACCTTCAAAAAATATTTAATAAGGGGCATAGATGGGAACCCGTCCCACGGAGAAACAAATTTTGAGGAAAAGAAGTCTTGCGAGGACCGTGAAGCGGGCGGAGCCTGAACCGCCCGAAATCAGCACATGTTGTTGTTTGAGGGGCAGTAAAATGGAGTGCCGAGTTGTGTACACAAATGTCCACGGGTGGTAAGGTCGCCACAGAGTTATTGCTGCTCGGGCGGGATGAAACTAGTACTAGAATAATGCCCAAGGTATGAGCGCCTACAGTGCTATGAGGCTGCCCTATTCGATTTCCCGTGAAAATTTTTCACCGGCCCTCATCGGGTCTTAGCTAAGTGAGACAGTGAATGTTTTCGTGCCCTACAGCTGTGGACATAAATCCGGAACGCATTCGCGGATCGATGCATAGGATCGAGGGCTTTGCCCAAGTTTCCCGGGTCGGTTTAGTTCTTGTCGTTCAGCGGCTTCCGTTCATCCGAAAGGCACAAGTGAAAAAAGGGAGCACGGCTCTACATGTTATCAGCCAGGGGTAGTAGGCTTGCCAGCATAGGGATTCCCAAAAAAGAATGCATAGTGATGATTTGACCTGGGTTCTAGAAGGAGCGTGGACGATTTTCGAAGGACGGTCATTCCACGCAGCTACTACCCGAAATGAGAACAGAATTTGCCCATTAATGTGTGCGCGCTGAGCTTGGAAATACTCTCACTATGTCCCGCCGTGTGTTTGCTGAATCAACGGTGAAAAACCTGTTCGCCAAGCTTTGTTCAAACAGGGCAGAAGTAAGAATTAGGTCCCCTCGGAGGTGACGGTACTCAGAGGAAAGAGATCAAGCATAGCGGGGCGCGTTTCGTAGTTCACGGATTTGAGGCCGGCAAACATTCTCGTAGCGGCCCGCTGGACATGCTCAATGAGGGTGGTGGCATCTTTTGTGCGTCCAGAGTAGACAACTTGGTTGGCGTACTCCAGGAGCGGTCTAACGTAGACCCCATAGAGCGCTTGGAAGTCCATGCGAATGATACGGGAGAAGGTGCGTCGGATCATCCGTAAAATGGCGAATGCCTTTTGGGCCGATTTCTCATGGTGCTGTGAGAAGGACAAGTTTGAGGAGACCCAGATGCCAAAATCCTTTTTGGCATGAAGTTTTCTGGTCCCTTCCAACTAGGCATGACAACAACCTTCACTGAGTCTCCTCCAACTGAAATATGGAATCCATTTTCTTAGTTCGGGGGAAGGTATCCCCAACGATCATTGCTTTGCAGCGTCTACATCCATTTGGAGGGCACTGGCATTGGAAGTCCAGGATCTCAAGTCGTCCGCAAATGTATACATGTACTTGAAAGAACATCTGGGAGGTCGTTGACGTAGATCAGAAAGAGCACTGGTCCCAGTACGGAGCCTTGAGGAACTCCAATGGAGACCGGCGCTGGGGAACAGTAGGTCGAGCCTATTCTCACTCCGAATGATCTGTCTGATAGGATTTTTCCTTGAACCCCGTAAGACTCCAGTTTGTGGAGCAGCGGGACGTGTGGAACCCTATCAAGTGCTTTTGAGAGATCGAAAAATATGGCATCCTATATGAGACCTTCGTCCTTGGCTTGGGTTAAGCTGTCCATAAACAAGAGCATGTTTGTCACGCAAGAGCGGTGTGGGAGAAATCCATGTAGAGCTGGGGATATCAGGTTGCTGGAAGTAAGGTGATCTAGGATAGCTCGCTTCAGAATGCGTTCCATCACCTTGCACGGCACGCTAGTGAGGCTTATAGGCC